CCCCTACTTTTTACTAAAGCTCCTCAAGGTTCAGAGGTTTTCTTTCTATGCTGTTTTCTTTGTTTCTCTTCTTGTTTTGCTTCATTATGTGTAACTTGGAGCTGATTTGTACTACTGGATATCTGACTGGAGCCACAGACAGGGAATCTGTATTGTTCTTACTGAAACACAGCATGGAATTAACATTAAACTATCTAAATTAAACATTACAAACTCACTTGTTGTGTTTATTTTATATGCCTTTAGCACAGATATACAAATATAATTCATGAACTGGTCATACAAAGTAATGACTAAAATAAAACTGTCCTGGGTGTTCTTGTTAGTCCTGGTGTTTGTAGACACCGCATGCTGTTAACATTAATATTGCAGCCTTGTTCTAATGAGTTGCATACATAAGCACGGGTGTTTCTTTAAAAACTGATAAATGTAGTCTCAATACTGAAAAGCCCAAACTAGGTGAACCTGAGTACAGTGTTGAACAGAGCAGATTCTGCTGCTGGAATCTGAGTTAGCAACTGTGAGTGTAATGATAAATTTATATGTTCTATTTATAGTGTTTGAGAGACAAATGCAATCTTAATGCCTGTGGTTCTGTGACTAGCTGCTGCTACTGTGTAAGCAGCTGATGGGGCCGGTAGATGTCTGGTGACACTCAGTCATCATCAACACTCACAGAATATGTGAGGCTGAAACTACTGTTTTGTGTAGCCACCATGTTTTATCATGGATTAGTGACTAATACATGCCATTATCTTGACTGTGTGTGCTCATAAAACCCACCTTTATCTCTTAAGCTATTCCTTTTTCCAGCTCTCACTCATACGTGTTCATTCTGGGGGGGCCTTAACCTTTTGCCTCCCTGGTTTCAGTTGCTTGTAACCTCTAGCAGTTGCAGCCTATTCTACTGTTACATCACCCATAATAACAGGCTGAGCTCAGTGCCTGGCCTAAATTTAGACTCATAGGTGAAAGTGGAGGAGCCAGTCAGACTGCAGCATGCACTACCAGCCAGTCAAAATGACTTCCTTCCTGCAGTGAGAACTGCTGCAGGTGCATGACAGTTGCCTGCGTCTCCTGTTGAGGAGCAACACTGTTTAAGACACCCCATTAGGATCCTTCTGGATGACCCCCTGACCTTTCATGTTAAAGTTTCACACACTTTGGCCCACGGACAGAGGTAGACACATTTGGTGACTTTAGACTTAACATGACAAAATCCGAAAAAAGGCTTTCAACTCAGCTTGGACTTAAACACCAGTGACAGCAGTGACTCATCACTTCACTTGGTCTTGAGCCTTTTGACTTGAAAATTGAAAAGATTAAAAAAGTCTGCCTCAAATTAACACTCAATTCCCCAGATCCATTTTGTTTTAACCAAAGCCATTACATCAAATTACTCAACTTCAGTTACATTTGCTTTGAATGCTTCATGCTTCTCAGCGGAGGAAACTGACCTGTTACTTAGCAAAACTATTACCTTAAGATTTACTAAACACTTCACAGAGGATGAGCGCTTTCCATTTCTCACTTTTCTCCTGTGAATTCCTCATTCTGCTATTGTGGTGAACTTCCATGATATAATATACAATACATTCTGATATATATTTTCTGTTACGTATGTTCGTACTTCCAAGAGATTGAGCAGTAGTATTTTGACCCTCTGACCTTTCAGATACCAGCAAAGCTCTAGGGATGGCAATTGGTCTGTCAGTCAATCCACCACCGAAATAGCTCAACACCCATTAGATCGGAATTGAGACGTTCAAGGTACCCAGAGGATGAATGCTACTGATCCACTAACTTCTGCTGTAGCGCCACCGAGAGCTTGACATTTGTGATTTAGAGTGAAATGTCTTAATGACTATTGCATGGATTTCTATCAAATCTGATGCAGACATTCATGGTCCTTTTGACCTTTGGTGATCCTCTCACTTTATTTAGCCTGACTTTTAATGATCAGGTCGTAGACTTTGTGTTATCTGTCTAACAGGTTGGTTTATATTACAGTGAGCCTCACAGAGCTACGGGTCTTTTTCAGTACGACTTCATTTGAAGCCCATTCGTTGTAGCTGCTGTGTCTACTTTCCCTCGCCATATGGTGAAGGTGTGATTATAGTGATTTACAGTCAAGCCGAAAGTGGCAGCAAAATGTCAAGGATGTGAGATGAATTACAAGGCCCTCTCTGTCCTTGTCAAACCTTTTAAAACCTTTCGTCCTTGTCTCACAAACGAAGCTCTGTAATGTATATAAAGTACGTAATATCCAGCAGGTGTGCCTGAGGCAGCAGGGCTTCTGGAAGAAATCAGTGCAGGCGAACATGGAAATCTGAAGATAATGGAAGGACAGATGCATCTTTCCAGCAGAAAAGCAGCGGGTTGCCTTCCATGTAGTCCGCCATGTTGAACCGCCATGTTAAACCTCCATGTCTCTACAGCAGCCCAGAAAGGACAGACTAAACACTGGCTGCAGGGAATGGGAACGTGAAATGAGTGAGTTTCAATCTACATCACTAGATAGGACTAAATCCTTCACACTGGACCTTTAAATGAGTTAGGGGTCTATATAGAGTGTTTCCTCTAAAATGATTTATTTATTATGATTTACACTTACATCCATCTTGCCCTTACTCCTACCAAGGCTAGGGTTTACTGGTGATTAGCTCAAATCCTTATAGTTACAGTAATCATACTCATCATCGATCATACTCCGAAAGATATTAATTAAAAGCAGTGTAGAACTAGACTACAATTTTTTCTTCATACAGCTATTAGCCTGGATGGATGACGGTGCAGCAGCTCCTCTAGCGCCCTCTGCAGGTCAAATCAAACGCACACAACAAGAGGACGTTTCCACAAATCACTCCATAATGCCTTTGCTTAATGAGGTGCTTTTATGACCAGAAGTAGAGATTGTCAGCCTGGAGATCATATATCAGTGACTGAGAACTGGGTATAGTTCGTGCTCTGTGCTAATAGTTAAGATGCAATACGACTAACATAGCTCTATCTGTTTGCTGCACTATTCTGGTAGTAAATCTCCCCCATGGCAAAGGCTTTTAAAAATGAAAACCACTGATATGTCATTCACAGATTAACCGTGACAGCTTGGCATTATCATTGCCAGACTATGGGGCCAGTGTTGAGATGAATGGGAGCACAAACGATATCAAACATTTGCTGTTGGCGATGTTCCCATCAAGCACCGTGCACACAACACACTACACTGTAGATGGCAGCGTCATTAGGCCTACATTTTGCCCAGAGAACCAGACACCAACCAGTACCACTACACTGGAATATCTTTGTATGTGAGTTGTGTGGTAATTTGATGAAATCTGACTTAACTTAAATCTTGAAGAAAATAATGAAGGTTATATGGTTAGATTTGTACAAGATAGGGCCACAGGATTGTGAGATGGACCCAGGTGATGCTGTATTACTGGCTTAAACCAATGTGCAAGAAATCAAACAACAGACAGACAGTAAACCCGGGGCTTTTGGGACCCACAGTTGCTCGCTTTGCCCAATTGATCATGTGGCCTTGAGTAGAAGCTGCTAATGATCTCTTTCATTTCAGTAATTATACTGTCTTCAAATAAATGTACTAATAATTTATGATATCTCTTTTCTCTCTTTTAGAACTGCCAGTTCGATCTGCCTTTACAGTCAAGGTTGCTGCCAGGTATGAAGGTCTCTCTCCCTGTCACGTATGTTCATTTGATCAAAATTGTTCCTTTTCAGTGTATCTATTCCATACCTCTGCTCTGCATCATCATTTTCACACCAGGCCAGACACTTTTCACACATTCACAAACCAAGAAGATACTACGATGAAGAGGTAATACTATACACTCACACCATGTGGTGATACTAGGTGTTTTATAGATTGGTTTACAACCTCATATGGTTTATGTAAACATGGTGCTGCAGAGTGTTATGAGAGTGATGATTTGAGAAAATTACAATTAGTTTTTTAAAATCCACCTATTGAGTCAGAACATTTGTGAAAACTATGTTAGCAAGTGGCTAGATATCTAAGGTAAGCTAAAAGTTATGAATAAACCTGTAAATTGTTAGCCTAAAGTAACGGATTAATGGTCCAAATAGTAAATAGATGGGTCTAATGGATAAATGGCTAAAAGTAATAATAAATGCTTTAAATACGTAGCTACAGTAGGCATGATGGATAAATGGTTCAAATAGCTAAAAGTAAT